TTGCTTCTTGAGTCTGTTTGCTTGGAAACCTTTTTTTCTGCCCTTTACTCTGAGGTAATGTCTATCTTTGTTGCTGAAGTGGATTTCTTGTATGCAGCAGAAAGGTGGATTCTGGTTTCACATCCACTGTGTTGGCCTGTGTCTTTTTATTGGGGTATTTAGTCCACTGATGTTGAGATACATAAACGATCAATAATTGTTGACTCCTATAATTTGAGGTTGTTGTGGGTAGTGTGTGTGCATGTGTGTATATGTGTGTGATTTTCTTTTGGTTTTGCTTAGGTAAAATTATTTATTTCCTGTGTTTTCTTGGGTATAGTTAACTCCTTGTGTTGGAGTTTTCCTTGTAATATCCTCTGTGGGGCTGGATTAGTAGAAATATATTGTTTAAATTTGGTTTTGTCATGGAATATCTTATTTCTCCAGCTATAGTAATTGAAAGTTTTTCTGGATATAGTAGTCTGGGCTGGCGTCTGTGGTCTGTGGGGATTGGTGTGATAGCTGCACAGGCCCTCTGTTGAAAAGCCTGGTATAATTTTAATAGGTCTGCCTTTATATGTTACTTGGCTCTTATGGCTTGTGGTTTTTAATATTCTTTCTTTGTTCTGTGCAGGAAGATTTTCTTTTTTTGGTCCAATTTGGCTGGTGTTCCGTAGGCTTCTTGTACATTTATAGGAATCTTTTCTTCTATGATTTTGTTGAAGATATTTTCTGAACCTTTGACCTGGGAATCTTCTCCTTCTTTATTCCTATTATTCTTAAGTTTGATTTTTTTCATAATGTCCCAGATTCCCTGGATGTTTTGTTAGAAACTTTTTAGATTTAGCATTTTCTTTAACACATATATCAATGTCTTCTATGCCTCTTTTATTTTGTTGGTGATGCTTGTGTCTATAGTTCCTCTTTTCTTTCCTAGGTTTTCCACATCAAGGATTGCCTCAGTTTGTGGTTTCTTTATTGCTTCAATTTCCATTTTCAGGTTTTGAACAATTTTATTCATTTCCTTCTTCTGTTTGCTTATATTTTTTATATTTCTTTAAGGGGTTTATTTATTTCCTTCAGCTGTTTGATTGTATTTCACTATATTTGTTTGAGGGGTTTATTTATTTCCTCTTTATGGCATCTGTCATCCTTATAAGATTGGATTTATGATTTTGGGGGGCTCTTCAGGTGTGTTAGAATATCCAAGGCTTGGTATAGTATGGTAGTTGGGTTCTGGTGGTGCCATATTGCCCTGAGTTTTACTGAGTATGTTTTTATACTAGCCTTTAGCCATTTGGTTGTCCATAGAATTGAAAGGCCTGGTGGTTACTGATGACAGTAGGCCTCTGGAATTGCATGTAGAGCTGGTAGGCCCTGGTGGCTACAAGCTTCTAGTGATCAATGCTGGTTGACAGCCTCCAGTAGTACCTAATGGCTGCTGGCCTCTGGCAGTTCCTGATGGATGCCAGGAAATTCTGGTAGAGCTTAGGCCTGGGAAATATCACATGGAGTACATGCAGCAGACCTCACCACCACTGAGTTTGCTCAGAATAACCCAGCAAGCAAAGAATTGGGGTAAGGGGTCTCACCTGGTAGTCCCTAGAAGCTACTGGACTCTGGGAGTTCATATAGAACTAGGGCCTGGGAAACAGCGCAGGGCAGGCACAGAAGCATACCTCACCAATCATCATCCATCCAATCTTTTAATGAGAAATTTCAAATGTGCAGTGCCCTCTACAGCCCTAAAGCTACTACATTACATTCTTAGAAGTCTAGCGGAAGATATTATTGCTGATTCTAACTTCACAGTCCTACCAAGACTGTCTTTACTTTTCTAGTAAAGACATTGGTCCTGGGGAGGTAGAAAGACCTGGAGGGGACAGAGCTCCACAAGGAGAGCAACAGAACCAAAAAAACTGGGTACAGGGGTCTTTTCTGAGACTGATACTTCAAACAAGGACCATGCATAAAGATAACATAGAACACACAGATGTAGCCCATGGCAGCTCAGTCTCCAAATGGATTCCCTCGTAATGGGAACAGAGACTGTCTCTGACATGGACTCAGGCTGGCTCTTTGATCACCTCCTCCTGAGGGGGGAGCAGCCTTACCAGGCCACAGAGAAAGACAATTCAGCCAATCCTGATGAGACCTGATAGGCTAGGATCAGAGGGAAGGGGAGGAGGACCTCCCCTATCAGTGGACTTAAGGAGTGGCATGGACGATGAGAAAGGGAGGGTGGAATTGAGAGGGGAAAGGGGATGGTCTACAGCTGGGATACAAAGTGAATAAACTATAATTAATAAAAATAAATAATTTTTTAAAAATATATTGGTCCTGTGATTAACCATGATTTTGAGGTCCTGTGGCATTCATGTGACTGAGAAGCAGAACTGATGGAATAAGGAGAGATGAATCTCTTTTTTGAGGAAGATGCCAACGTGAGGCAAGCCTAAGTGATGCTAGATGGATCATGAGAGCATCTTTTAAATATTTTCAGCTGTATATTTTTCTTCAAATGAGAAGACTAAATCTCTACTGACAGATATGCTGTTCTTACTCTAAACATGTTTCTGATGTAAATAACCTTTTTTCTAATTTTACCATAATTATAAGAACATCATTTCCCCTTCACTTTCTTCCTTCCAACCCCTTCTTAAATTCATATATCATTTTCTTTACTATTACATATATATATAAGTATAAATAGATAAATAAAATATATACTGTCCATTTGATGTTGTTTTGAGGTTGTTTCAAAGATAATAAGTTAGTATTGTAAAACTGAATAAGGGCTGGTCCCTGGGAAAGATGATTTCTTTTCTTAAGATATTATAAAAGAAACAAGGAAAACAAGCTGTGCTTTATAACGATAATGTATTTGTGACCAAACAAAGCCTATTATAGAAATGATCTGGTTAAAGAACAAGAGCATCTACTAAGCTGAGGATTACAGAACCATACTTGGAAACTCTCTTTGTGTAAATTCTGTAGCTAAGCCAAGAAATACCTATGAATAGAAGGATTATAAGCAGAAATTGTTCATACAACTACCACAAAACATGTTGAAAAACCTACATGTCAGTGTCTATCCATGTTACTTCATACTGAAAACAAAACACTTATTTAAACTTTCTTTGTATCCTGAAACAAATGAATTAGTTTGGGTGAATATTTCCTGAAGAAAAGTAACAATGCTGATCATTTTGCCCAGCAACAGTGAAGCATCAGAGCACATACAATCATTCTAGTTCTGTAATTTGTTCTAAAGAGCCTACATAAAAATACAGGCAGTGAGATGGGGCTGGAACATAGGATGTTTCTTCCACCTCAACATCATGACACAGGACCAGTCTTCTAACACATAGTGCCCAAGGGACACGGAGACAACATTTAAAAAAAAAGTTGTGGATCAACAGTTTAAAGAACTTTTTTTTTAATCTTTTATTTTTTTTATTAATTACACTTTATTCATTTTGTATCCCCCCATGAGCCCCTCCCTCCTCCCCTGCCGATCCCACCCTCCCTCCCCTTTCTGCATGCATGCCACTCCCCAAGTCCACTGATAGGGGAGGTCCTCCTCTCCTTCTTTCTGATCTTAGTCTATCAGTTCTCATCAAAAGTGGCTGCATTGTCCTCTACTGTGGCCTGGTAAGGCTGCTCCCCCCCTCAGGGGGAAGTGATCAACGAGCAGGCCAATCAGATTATGTCAGAGGCAGTCCCTCTTCCCATTACTATGGAACCCACTTGGACACTGAACTGCCATGGGCTACACCTGTGCAGGGGTTCCAGGTCATCTCCACAAATAGTCCTTGGTTGGAGTATGAGTCTCTGGGAAGTTCCCTGTGTTCAAATTATCTTGTTCTGTTGCTCTGCTTAAAGAACTTTTAAGTTTTAATTTTGTTAGACTTAAATTATGTGCACTTGTGTCAGGTTTGTGCATGTGGGTTAGTGCATGTGGAATCCAGAAGATGAAATATGATCCCTTGGGTCTGGAGTTACAGGTAGCAGTGAGCTGAAGGAAGTAGGTTCTTAGACCTTAACTCTAGACTCTATGAAATCAGTGCACATTCTTAACTCCTGAGACATCTTCTTCACACTGAAAAAGCAAAGCCCATGTTTATTATTTAGTATTTTCACAGTTAAATTCTATTAGTAATGTGTAGAAACATAAAAACAAATAATTATAACATAAAATTCTAAAAGTTAAATATAGAGTACGCACTCAGAAATATTTTATTTCTGTGAAGGAGAGATGGGCTAAGGGGATCTATGCAGTGAGTTCACACTGTACTTCCGTTTAGGATGGTGTCAGGACAGGCATCAGGAAGAGGTCGGAGTGTGATCACATTCATTTTCATTTCTGAAATCCATGCAGAGCTGTACTGAATGTAGCAATATTCTTGAACTTGCAAATTTGGTGACTTGCAAATTGAAGTGTTAAAGGTAAGAGTATGCATTTAAACAGTCAGAGTGACAAGGAAAACAATATACAATATTACATATGGACTATAGGGACAGAAATGTTGGGCATATTTTTACCTTCCATTTTAAAACAATGAAGTACAAAATAGTCTGAAAAATAGCCAGTAAATGCACAAGATATAAAATAGGAATCAATTAAAATATTTTGTCATCTATTTCAGTGTCAATCAAAAAGCCAGAAAGCATATCACAAACAGAATATTGTGAAAGTTTTAACACATACCTTAACCTAAAACCTAAAGTTTCTACTATTTCTTCATGACTTTTAAAAGGTACATTACATGAACATCCACATATATGCCTTAATTCACAAGGAACATAACAGCAGCCTATGCAGTCTCTTATGCTTGTGCAAAAACACACACACAATTATATATGTGCATAAATATTTGTGTATGCAAACGCACCTGTATGCACAGTGATCTACAGGTTTATCTGCAAAAGTGTCCACATTCACATGGCATGATGCTATAATTGTGTTCACGATTCTTCCAGAAAGACTCAATAACAAAGTAAGAATTGTAAATAGGCTTTCAATTAAGCTCATCATCAGAGCCTCTGGGAAAAACTCTATTCCTTGCTGAGAGTAAGCAAAAGCTGGACACCCGAGAGTCACGGCTCATGAGCAGAAAGGGACAAACAACAGGGAAAAGCAGAGAGGCCATTGCAGTCACATTCACCAAAGACCAACTGGGCTTGTACAATAAAGCCCCAAAGAGCTGACAGAGGGATGAAAATGTGTAAAAAGAAACAAAGGTACTAACCAGAAGGAGAATGGTTTTGGTTGCTCTGGACTCAGAAGATTTTGAGGATACCTTGTTTCTGGGCATCTGTTGCATCTTCTGTTTATGCCTATATAGGATGAGAACCATATAGCTGCTGGCCCAGACCATGAGCCCTAGAAAAATAATGTCTGGAATTGACAGCAACGCTGCATACAACGTGTCCCTGGTTTTGTCACGACAGTCCCAATAGCAGTATAGAAAAGATTTTAGGTTTGTTGTGCTTTCATTTCTGTATTTTGCCCTCATGTGAATAAAATTTACACTGCTTATAAGAAAGTGAAGGATCCAGCTCAGGTACACAGAATAGCAAATGCACTTGTGTGTTTTCAATTTAAGGTCTGAATACCTGGAGTTCCTGAGCCCAATGCTGGTGGCCTGGAAGACACTGAGGAAGGAGGTGCTGCCAACACCCACGCCCCTGCCCACTCTGTGAAAGGAGAAAACCAGTTTGCATCCAATATCATTGAGAAAGTCTTTTGAACCAAAAGCTGAAATTGTCTGGGGAACTCCTTTACACAGCAGAGTTAAGATGTTGGCTACAGTCAAGTGGATTAGAATCACGTCTGTGGACCTTAACCTGGACCCTAAGAGGTAAAAAAACAAATAGTGGTAGAGAAAAGAGAAATTTCCCACAACTCCAATCACAGTCTGAGACAAGAAGATAAATCCTACAGCCAGCTCACTGATTGCCATGCTTTCTGATCCTGATCTCAGGCTGAGGGTCCTAGATGGGAAGATGAGGCTGAGGCTGCCCACACTCAAAAGAGTGTGTAAAAACAGGACACACAAAATTCTCCATCCAGAGTAAGTCCACAAGAAATACTCAACCTATAGGACAGCCACCAACAAGGCACAAATTACTCAGATGAAGGTAACTGAATGAGGCACAAAGTTCTCACGTATTTCGGGACTCACACGCTTGGAGAATATGGAAAGAGAAAACAATGCTTCTGTGACAAGCACAGAATGCCTACTATTGTAAACCTAGCAATGACTAATAACAACAATTGATAAATAACATGTGATGCATTCAATTTGGGGAAATAGACATTAATCCATGCAAAATTGCATAAGATGACAACAATTATTAATAATTTAAGACCTACAATGGACTCTATATTGAATGCTGAATGAAGTAAATTTGTGAGTAATGATATGAGTTGAAGTTTGTAAATTATAGGCTATATATGCAACACATCAGTGTGAGAAGTGATATGGTTGCAATTGTTATTACTATGTTAACAGACAATAATATTTAGAATATTTTACATATCATGATAAATTTGGGAAAGAAGACATGATAACCCATAGAGGCCCTTTATGAGCACAGACTTTCAAATTTTAAATTATGCCAGCATAACAATACTTCAAATTATCAGATATTTTAACACATGCAAAAATAAGATTTAATACTAATAGGTGAGGGGCAATAAAATTCATGACAGTTTTCATTTCAGTATCCATTGCCACTTCCAAGGAAGAAAGATACATTTTATTCAGCATGGGTATTTTTAAATTGGTATGAATACTGTTTCTATTAATTTTACTCCCACTCTCAGGTAAAGAAAAACTTTTGTTCTAAAGAGACCTTCACTTCCATGAAATTCCAGGTGTGAAGGAAGAATCTCACTCCCTTATTACAAGCATGAAGTAATAATCAGTGTACTCCTAGAAGTTCTGAGCCTTTACTATGGTAACAAGAAGGGATCACGGGTCACTACTCTTTTCAGCTTAAGGTCAAGAACATCTACTCTCTATTGCTTTTTTCTTATAGAAATTACTTTAAAATATTTCACAGAAAAATCAGTACATATCCAATGGCACAGCAATATACTGAGTGAGACAAACAGACTGTGAATGCATCCTCCGTACACAGCTAATTACCATGCCCCTTATAATCTCAGTTACCATCGTAGATGGATAACAGACAAAGCTAATACACACAAATATAGATCCCACCAAGCTATGCAGTGTCACAGAGATCACTCTTTATCGGGTGCCCTAATGAACTCCTCTTGTAAAGAAAAAATGTTTCTTTTTTCAGAGTGACAATTTATTATCCCCTTAGAACAAAACTTGTTTTACAGTAGGAAATGGCACAGCAGGCACTAACGGCTAGGAGCAAGCTCAGTTCGCACTGGGATGCAGTGTTGCCAGTACTCCCGAGCAGATTTCTTCCTGACCCCATTCCTGAGGAGTCTCTGTTTCCTTTGTGGCTTTGCTTTTCTTCCAAGTTCAGGCCAATGTTATAGTATGTCCTACAATAGCTTGCCAAGTCTCACACAGTTTACCTTTTCTTCTCTGCCCTCAGGTTGCAGTATGTTACACTGTCTGCACCTTATTCTTCCTAGAATGCTGATCTCAGTGCCTAGGCCACAAAGATTAGGTCAGCTGGAGGGAGCACCCATGCCTGAGATATGGGTATGTGTTTCTGCGACCTCATCTCCCCTCAGAGCCGCAATTATTATTTCACTTGCAGTAGCAATGGACATGTAAACCTGAACAGACAGTAACTTAGCTCTGAGCTTTTCTCCCTGGTGACCATTAGCCTTCGCTAATGAATTACAAGAATTACAAGTTCTTATTGTCATCTCTTGAGGGAATATTGCAGAGTTCAGAAAGGTTGTTATCTACTACATTTCCTGGAGGTCACAAGATGTCATCTTTAGAGGCAAGGAAATAATATGACCCAACAGAGTTCTAATGTTGAGCCTTATATGTGCATTGTATTTTTTGATTCCCTGAAGTGTTCTGTACAGAAATCTCATTTCCAGTTCCTCATTTCACTGGGTGTTAATTAATTACTGGGCACCATGAATATATATAAAAGAAAAAAATTTCAATGATGAAAATATATTGAGAATATTATTGATATTCTCAAAGAGTATAATAAAATGAGCTAGATGCTACAAATTTACTATAGTATTTTTGTATGCAATGTCAGAAATCTAAGTCGATTTATTTTTTATTTGTTTTCACAACTGGAAATAGTTTACCAATTATATTAACAAGGAAAATATCCTGTATCATTCTATTAATAACCAAATTGAAACAAGTATTATTTTAAACAGAGCTTCCTTGCATTGGTGAACAATTCTGCTCCCAGAATACAAGGGTTATTAAATGAAAATATCATTGCTAGACATGGGTTACCTCCTTTTGAGTTATTGATCAACAAGCATAAGCAGGTACCTAAACAGCACAGCCTATTGCCATTGCTTTTGCTTATCTATAATAATAGGTAAGAGTCTATCCCTGGGAAGAGGGTAAAGTAAACATCACAATTTGTTGAAGATGCTCTTTTTTCCATTGTATGGTTTTGGATCCTTGGTCAAAAATCAAGTTTCCATAGGTGTATGGGTTTATTTCTGGGTCTTCAATTTGATTCCACTGATTAAACAGTGCATTTTCTATGCCAGTAACATGTAGGTTTTATTACTATTGCTCTGAAGTATAGCTTACAGTCAAGGAACCTCCTTTATTGTATAAGATTGCTTTAGCTATTCTGGGTTTTTTTGTTTTTCCATATGAAGTTGAGAATTGTTCTTTCAAGGTTTGTAAATAATTGTGTTAATATTTTGATGGGAATTGTATTGAATCTGCAGATTGCTTTTGGTAAGATGGACATTTTTACTCTGCTAACCCTACTGATCCATGAGCATGGGACATCTTTTTATCTTCTGATATCTTCAATTTCTTTCTTCAGCGTCTTGAAGTTCTTGTCATACAGGTCTTTGGCTTCCTTAGTTATTGTTGCACCAAGATAGTTTATATTATTTGTGGCTATTGTGAAGGGTCTAGTTTATCTAATTTCTTTCTCAGCCTCTTTGTTGTTTATATACAGGAGGGCTACTGTTTTCTTTTTAATTAATTTCATATCCAGCCACGTTGCTGAAAGTGTTTATCAGCTGCCAAAAATTCTCTGGCAGAATTTTTGAGGTCACTTATGTGTACTATCATATCATCTGAGAATAGCAACACTTTGATCTCTCCAATTTCTATCTCCTTGATCTCCAAAGACAGGAGCTCTACAAGAAGATCCACAAAGCCAACTAACCAAGTCCAGAGGGGCTTGCAGGGACTGAAGCACCAACTGAGGACCATGCATAGATTGGACATAGGCCCCTACACACAGATGTACCTGATGGGCTGCTCAGGATTCACGTGGGCTCCCTAGTAAGTGGAGTAGGGGCTATCTCTGACATGCGCGGTGTTGCCTAACTTTTGATGGCTCCACCCTGGTGGGGCATCCTTAACAGGCCACAGGGAAGAGGATTTGTTCAGGCCTGATTCATCTTGATGAGCTGGGGGAGGTGGGTAGGGGGTGTTCCCCTTTTCTGAGGTAGACACTATCAGCACCCAAATATTTTTCTGTGGGTAGTGTTTTTATCGCGCCATTTGTCAGCCAGGTACATGAAAACATATATTGACAGCATGGTAAGGAGCTAGCAGAAAGCACTGAATTACTTGGTACTTTAGCCTTAAGCTTGTCCAATCTAGAGTCTATGGGAATGATGGTAATAGCTGGAGAGACACTAAGAATGTAGGTGGGGATAATGGACATGACCCAGCTGATTCTGTGAAGTTAGAAAACAAGCTGACATCCAAAATCACTGAAAAAGCCTTTTTAAGCTAAAGGCTAGCACTGTCTGAAATACTATCCTACACACAATGACCAAGCAGTTGGCCATGGCCAGATAGTTTAGAATAAAATCTGTGGGTCTTGACTTGTGTTTGGTGAAATAAGGAAAGACAGACAATAAAGAAGAAATTTCCCAGTATTCCAAGCAGTCTGAAATAAATATATGAAGCTTAATCCTTGAAAGCAATTCTAACTGGTCAGCAACCAAATCAGACTTCAGAGGCAAATGCCCTTACTTGGGAAGGGAAGATGAGCATGAACATTATATATATAATATATATATACATATAATATTTTTTAAAATCCACCAATATGCAGATACATTTCCTATATTTGCTTATTTACTGAAAGAATGATTCATTGTTCTGTCTCTTTCTCTCATACATTCATATGTGTAATTAGTAAGTTTGTGGCTGATTGCTTTTACTCTGGATTTAATATTACCAAAGGTGTGTTAGTATTTTACAAGCATGCTGCATCTTACTTCTTTGTAAATTGACACTCAGATTAAGGCTTGCGCACCAATTATTTGGGATAAAAGCAAGATAATTACTCTGGGATTTTACTCAACAATGTTTCTGTATTAACGTTCTAAATTAAAGATAAATTACATGTTCTAAACTGATGCTTTCTGGTACATAAGTGCATACTTCATTGGTGGTATAATGTTCTTTTGGAATGTATACACCTTACCCGTATTCATCCAAATGCTAATTTCTCTCTCCCACTATCTGGTTTCAATCCGGACATTGCATTGTGATACTTATTCTAAGCATCACCTGCCTTAAGTTTGTGTAAACATGCTACCATTTGTTCTCTAAATTGTCAATTAAAACAACCAGCCACAATGTTGAGCAATGGAGAGGACAGGGTGGGACATCCTGGTTCAGAGTGGGAGGAGAGGAAGGAAACAGGAGGAGGGGAAAGAGTAGGAGGGGGAAAGGAGAGGAAGCAGGAGGAGAGGAAGGAGTAGGAGGAAGAAAAGGAGCAGAAGCTGGGAGAGAAAAAGCTGGAGAGAGGTCTTGGAACGATGTGGAGAAATGAACCCGACCTAATAAATCACTAAAAGCAA